TTATCCTCAATTGTATCGAATTAATCGATTAAAACGGAATTCAGACATTTTAATTTAAGAAGTTAGCAATTAGTCTCATTATGTAATTAATTGAAATTAAATAATTAAAATTACTGGAAATTAAAGACGATTTGAAAGAAGATCAAGAAGACTTCATTACAGGATTACTCAATACCCTAATCGAGGTCACTCAACTCAATCCCCATGTCAGCGCTTGGCATCCTGTAAGTGTTGACATTGAAGAACATCGTCACCCAGCATGGACAAAATTTAATGAAGAAGAAACAATTTAAAAATTTCGCAAATGAGCACCGATTTCACCCTGCGATTGGAACTTGGGGCACGACCGAGCAATCGATCGATAATTCTGGGCAAATCGACCGGTTAAAAAAAGTGATGGACTCAAGGAAGTTTCATCCCAAGTGGAATTCTTATTGCCAGGGATGAAACGATCAGAGGAACGGCCTGGTTGAGGTGACGCAGATGACACGGAACCGTCATCCACCAAGGCCATTCTCAACGGGACTGTCTCATGCATGGCGTCATCCGAAGGAATCCCCATCTACGCCTGAACCTTCCTGCTATCGAACGCTTGCCTCCAGTCGTTGTCGAGAGAGCAAGACGACTGGATCGTGTGAATTCCTCCCTTACTGAGTCTCCAGTGGTTCAAGTCGCTTCGAGTTCCTCACTGCTAAGTTAACGCTTAGCCACCATGTCAGTACGAATCGCGTCGGCATGAAATTGTTCATCCTCTTAGCAGGATGTGCACTTTTTCTAATATTATATAATTTTTTAAAAGTCGTATTTGTTTCCATACGAAACCAGAATAAGGAACGGTCGGAAGGAAGGGATGCATTGGGGTGGGAGGGGGGATAGAGGATGAATTTCGTGCGGATGCCTATATCTGCCAGCTTAGTTGAATTCATCCTGAAATTGTGAGATTGTGGAAGGAAAGCAGTGAAAATGAAATCATAAGACATACATTTAGCTAGGGAAATGCGGAAGTCGTGTAAATTATTGGTAATGCAGCACTCCGGACTTGATACTTAGCCTTCTTTCCAAGCGAACTTGAATACGATGCCATTTCCCAGGTAATTCGCCTGGCATTGATTCGATCATATTCTGCTGTGTTAAATGTCCAGCGACGGGGCAATGTGTGAGTGGAATTAGCAGCTGCAGGCACCAATAGATATAGCCACAGGAGGAGACAATCTTCAGGTGAAAGGTAAGAAACCTATTTCTCTCACGTCCTGATGAAATTAGTTGAAATTGTAATTGCAGTTTCTGGCGTTCTTCACCTGGAAACAAGGCATGCCAATACATTACATTGTGATGTCAGTATGTAATTTCCAGGTCCCGTGGTTGGTGGTTCAGGATACTCGATAACAGTGAATGTACCTCATCCGTTCAACATTCTAAAAGTTTGAATTGTGGGAGCAGAATCGCCTCCTATGACGTTGCAATCAATATAATTGATCACGTAATGGGAAGAGGATGGTTAACATGTATTTACTGGTGAATTTTGTGCCGTGGTGCGCTGTAACTGGGCAATGGAGAGTTAGCTTTTGAGTATTTCATCCTAAGCCAGAATTCTTGATTAAGTTGATTTTGGAAATGTTTTTTTTTCCTAAAATTCACCCAAACTATCTGGATATCGACTGATAAGACGCTATATGCATGTAACTCAGTCTTGGTCGAGCGTTCGTCATGACGTGTGAGCACACAGCCCGAGAAGGCGTTCGATATAATGACTTGTTTGCGAAACTTGGCCTCATTACATGAAACTGTGACGATTTTTCAGACTCTTGATCCAACTAGTATCGTCTTCGGTCATAAGCTTTCGATTGAATCATGAAAATCTGTTCGTCCGCCTAGGAGGAGTTTCCCCGGAATGTCACTTTGACAGATTATCCTCTTATGTATTAAGTATATGTACATGGATGGAGGATGGCCTGCCATTGAGATCACACAACCCATCCCTAAGAAAGAGGTTCTTTCGGCGCATTGCGAAATTTCGAGTTTCAGACTTCCCGATGTATCTGTCTTGCACGGTTCCAGTCTCAGCGACATAGAAGG